ACCTCTTTCGTAGTACGCGAGACCCCATACCTGCTATGGAGACCTACCAAATAATTGAGGAGCAAGGCTGGGAGACCAGTCCCCGCTTATCATATTCTCCTGACGTAGTCCCCTAAGACTGCTACCTGCTCCGCCTCCTTAGGGCTTTCTTAGCTAAGAAAACTTTCAGCAACTTTGATGACATCAGTCGAAAGGCCGCTGACTTACTCTACTCGCAGCCTCCTTAGTTCTGGGAGGAGGGAAAGGCTCACCTGTCCATTAGGTAGAGCACTATAGTGGCTAACTATGACGAGCATATTGTTGACTAATTCCCACTGTATGTTGAGTTAGAAAATAAAAAAGAAAAAAGTCACAACAGTGACAAGACTTTCCTTCCAACCTATATTATCACTCATCCATGGGTATCGGTATCGTTAACTACAGTTTATATCACTGCGACCAGTCGGGTCGCAATCAGCGGTTCCCACCTGCGGCCTTCCCACCAGTGGCTGATTCCTTCCTACATCGATCATTGCTCGATCACCATTGGTAGAGCAAGGCAGCCGGACGCGAGCTCGTGCCGCGCTGCGCTCGCCGCCCCCGACAAATTGCATTGTTACAAACTGTAGATTGTTATCATCTACAGAACGGTTACCACTCATACCATTCAGCTTTTCCCACCTCAAAACACAGAAAAAAAACATTTCGAGGAAAAACTTGCTGCTTAGAATTTGCGTGAAAACGTTGTTTGGTTTGCCGATCGCAAATATGACACTTATTTCTGTATTCGATGCCAAAAACAAAATGTTGTATTCGTGATTAGGATGTAAATATTCAGGTAACTTCAAAGTTTGATTTTATTCTCGCAAGCGTTCGTAAGAAAGCTACAAGGTCTAGAATTACGCTGCATTCTCCCTGCCATTGCCCCCTGCCCTGCCATTCTCTCTGTACGATACCCCTCATATAGTTTAAGTCCTGAGCGAACTTGGCGATCCCATCCTGCCGATGCCAACAAGCCTCTAAAAATTAGGAGCAGGAGGCTTCTATAAGTTCGTCAATAGAGTTGTTCCTTAGACTTCGGAGAATAGTCATTCCAAATGACCAGATCTACATCGATGATGTTTTATTGCCAGCAGCGAATCTGCATTAGTACTATTACACAAGAGTCATATTAAATAGCCTTGCCATGCCAAAAGAAACGAAGCGCAAATACTGCTGCCTCGCTTCGCATGCGCATATCCCATTTGAAACTTTAAATGCGTTCTAACGATGCCTATAACTTCAATTTTTGTCGAGCTTACACACTGACAGAAAGAGAGGGAGCCACACTCACAGCGCTCCAGAGTGTGTGAACAATGGTCCGACCAAAGCTAAACGACTAGTACCCGAGGTCAAAAAACATTCATTTTTGACAAATGACCGGTCATTGTAGTGCATTATTAATCTTCCAATCTTGCCACGCCAAGAGAGCTTGCGTCAGATGTTAGGAGGCTGACTTAGCTGCAAACGGCAAGCGAAAAGATGACCTGCCAAACAGAAGCAGATTCAACCGCGTTCATATTTTCACGAACTCAAGGTGAAACTGTACACTCCGTCCTCGGCCCGTGGGTTCGAAGAAATGGGCTCCGCAGTGCAGTGACGTGCCGCTTTTTCTTCGCTTCAAAGTGACGGGTAGTGACAGAGCGCGTCTTACTCCGCCCGCGCTGCCACACGCCTAATTATAGCCAGACGCACTACTTGTCGACACCTTTTCGCTTCTGGTTGTTCCCTACCGCTAAGGGAGTATGCGGTGAATCCGGTCTCCCTATTGCAGTATCCTTTTAGGACTTCTTTCGCAAGCGCCCTTTTTTTTCTTGCCGATTTATGCAGCCGGAAGCCCACAGCTCTGTCACATATATTGCACATCCTGGGCCCCATAACATGCCCCCCACCAGATTACTCTGCCCCTTTTGCCGCGAAACAACTGTAACATGACATGATTTGGTAGCCGTGCGACTGGGATCAACTATGATCCATTTCTGGACCACTGATACCAGGCTTCCTAGGTACGCTGGGAAATTCCAGCGCGGGCGGAAGGGGGGAGGGCGTTGTATTGGGTGCGGCAACAATTTTTCTTCTCGGGACCGTTTTGCACTGTCTCTGGTTGGTCGAAGGAAAACGCCTTCTCGACGGAAGTTTTCAAGAGGGTTCTCAATTTTATGCAACCGATAGATGCAAGCCTCCGTTATTTAATCACTTTAACATGGAACTTCACTTACTCTATCCACTAGTCAACGATTAGCGCTAGACCGCCGCGGGCTAGGTCGACACGAGTCGAAATAGCCGCGACTGAAACGTTACAGGTGCAAGTATTGAACACATCTTTGCAAAATTGTTCACAACGCAGTTGCACACCCTGCATTCGATTCTGGGGACGTAAGCACCTTAAATTTTAGGCGCTTAAACGATGGCGCTTAGAAGCATACCTTATTTTAGAGCGTAACCATAGAGGCAAAAGACGCCTACTGCTTGGAGGTGCGTCGGTCTGTTGCCAGCGTCATTGGTGGTAGTTGGTTGCGGAGGGTTGAGCTCACTCAGCCCGCTGTCAAACCAATGAGATTTACAACGGCCCGCTCCTAGCAATTTCGCATTGCCTTTGAGGAAAGGGGCTACGCGATCACGGACTCCGGTCATCTCGTCCCTCCTTCCACCTTGGCAGCGATCCTTTCCTTCGCCAAGCTCAGGCTAGTAGGACAGTATCCATGTCGACATGGCCCCTCCAACTAGGTTAGCGCCAATTTTTTCTTCCATGGTAGTCGATATCTGTAAATTTCAGTCAATTGGATACGATCGTGCGACATTGCTCGCGATGAGCACCACTACTGCTGCGGACGTCGACGAGGTGCGTTCGCGAGTTGCCGCTGTTGCACCGGAGATTCTACGTTGAGGGACATGGGCGCACCAACGAACTTTCAATTCATCAGCACCACAACTTCCCCATTTCACCACCATCACCAATTTAGTCATTTTTCCTAAGTAGTAATGATTTATCGTTAAGCACAGCCAGCACATCACTTTTCATGCACTCATCATCATCATCATCATCGCTCACACAGAATCGCCGGTATCTACTGTTATTTCCATGTCCATTCTGCTTTATTTCTATATATTTAATATATATGTAATAATATGTGGTATTTGCTCTATAAGTGCCTAAATTATATTAGACGTGCTTATTTTAAGCATAAATTTTCAGCTATAACTATACTTTATCTTCGTGATATGAACGAGCTCTAAATGTTATTCTATCGCGCAGGTGAAACAAATAAAGTCCTAACATAAGTATCTCTTAATCACGTGTAACAGTATGAGAACTTCAACAATAACAACTACGACAACAAGGCAGTCCAAAACATTAGGCTGCGTTCATACTTCAGTGCACGCCAGCGTCCAAAGCGTACAGAAGCGTTTTCGCGGGCTTTGGCTTTTGAATTCGAGCAAAACTGCCCGCCGAAACGCTACTGTACGCTGGCGCTCGCTAGATGGATATCTATACTGTCCTAGTCGCTGGCCTGCGCTCGAACGCTGCCATGCGCTGACGCAAACTATGAACGCAGCCTAAGGATTTTCAAAAAGAGGGCCGGGCATCACGGTAGTCATCAACCACATCTGATCAACCTCATCTTTGAACTCATCGTCTATGCTTGAGTTCAAAGCTTGAAAAACACTAGAAGTCTATGTGAAGAGAACAGAACTAGTCTCAGAAGTCAAGGCAACTCGCACAAGGTTTGATAAAAGCATGAATACAAACGTGCGTTTATTTCGCGGCAAGTTTTATATACAGTGAATCCGATTAAAACCTTCGATAGAAAGTAGAATCTATAACAGATCACAAAATAAGTATGTTGCACCGAAAACGGAACGCAGCAGCCAAGGTCATGTTCATATGAGTGTGGGCTAATGCCGTTTGGACTCCAGAAATTTCGTCTTCGAGCTCATTTTCAAATTGCCTAAGTCACCAAATCCACTAAAAACTTGTATATAGGGGTAATTCAACATCCTGATTACGAATATGAACATCCTGATTACGAGTATGACACTCATTCTTGGCGCTGGCGCCAAGAGAGGACACTACGATTACCTCCTGGGCTCAGCCTTAGCAGAGCGCAGGTAACCGTAGTGTCATCCATTAGCGCCAGCGCCAAAAATGAATGTCATATTCGTGATCAGGATGTTGAATTACCCCTATATACAAGTTTTTAGCGGATTTGGTGATCTTGCCACTTTTAAAATGAGCTCGAAGACGAAATTTCTGGAGTCCAAACGGCATTAGCCATGAGTGTGACGTTACTTCCCAGACGCAACATTGCACTCTTTCCTAGCCCAAATCATGTGAGAATCACAGGAAAGACGTGAGTCAACACTCCACAGGGTTGCTCAAATGGAGCGCGAATGTTGCGAAATTGGCACGCTTAAAACGCTTCTATGGCCGCTGGCCGCATTCATGCTTTCAGCGTACGCCAGCATTTTGAGCGTCCCCAGCGACTAAGAAAGTATAGGTATCGATCTAGCGTACGCCAACGTATGTCAACGACGAGCAGCGTTTGAGCTACTAGGAAAGTACAGGCACCAATCTAAAGCACGCCACCGTATGCCAGCGTCAATCAGGAGTGGAGAGTATGGGGAACTAGGAGGGCAGCAGACTGCCGGATCAGGCATCGTGAAAACGCGGCAAGTGCAACCACTCTGTACAACTGCACTACATCACACACATCAAGATTTCATAATTCTGTGCTTTAGCAGTTGTACGTGCGGTTGCACACGCCGCAATTTCACGACGCCTAATCCAGCAGTCTGCTACCCTCCTACTTCCCCATACTCACCACTCTTGGTGAACGCTGGCGTGCACTGGAACGCCAGATTGATATCTGTGCTTTCCTACTCAAAACGCTGGCATATACTAATGTACGCTGGATCGATACCCTTCCCAGTCGCTGGCGTCGGCGTACGCTCCAAACGCTGCCGTAAGCTGACGCAAATTGTGAACGCAGCCTATGTTCCCGTCGCGACTTGAGAGTAACATTATACACACCGAGTTCATAACGAGCGCGAATGGATAGACAGGAGAACCGGAGATTCAGCGAGATTAGGAGGATCGAAGAAGTATGCGGCTAAAGAAAATAGGTATCGATGTGGTGTTTTGAGAGAAAGAAGAGTCGCGGACTTGGCTTTTCTCATCCACTTCTTGACGCATTCTCCCATAACGTCAGCTCCACCGCCATTGTTCTGTACTCTCAAGACGCCACATCGATAGCTATGCTTCCCCTTGGCGCGTAATCTCACATTCTCCTCTTCTAAACAATCGTAGAATATGAAAGAGACCTGGAATCGTGGTCAGTTTCGTAGTTCGTCAAGACAGCGAAATGGATTCGCAATAATTATTGTGGCGGGGTATGAACACGGGTTAAAATTCCAAATGCAGGGTAACAATATGTGCGCGCCCTGATACTGCACACCTGCGCACCTTATGTGGCCTAGCAGACAGGTGCAAGCAAAAACAAAATGCTAAAGAACTATAATGAGCGTCTTTAGCGATGCCAATGAATAAGTCTACGTGCCTATCAGACATGAACACCGTACAACCTAATTGTTCCATCATCTGAACAGCTAGCCAGAATCCACCTATCCGAATCCTCTTCGGCGGACGGAGCTGGATTCCATGCTACGCAATTGACCTGAATGAGTATATTTAGGAACTGGAATAGAATTCAAAAAATCAATGGAAAATAACTAACATCAAAAAAACCAAAATTTAAACGGGTTCGTGAGGCTTTAGGGTGAAGCATCTTAAGAATTAATGAAAGCAGAGGATTCAAAAAGCAACGAAACTAGGGGGAGACCTCCTGTAACACCCTTTATCATCACTCAGCTTATAAAGAGCCATTGCGCTCCCAGAGAACGGAAGGATCTAGAGTGCTCGAACTCTCGAAATACAAAAAAAACTTTTAGACCGAGCAAAAAAAAACGAAAAGAAAAAAATCAGCAGATGACGCCAGGCGTGACGGTGCTTTCGGGGGTCAAAAATCTGCTGTGGTCGACTGTTGTGTGACGTAATAAAAGAGTGACAAATCGTGCGAAAATCGTATATCAAATATTGTTTTGGCGCAGTTCCGCTCGGTGGGGGTGTGCAAAATGCAAATTCCTGCTAACAAAATGGGCTTACTTCGCTGTGTCACTTCGCAGCATCACATAACAGTTTCACAACTTGTTAGTAACCACTTTGAGAAAACTTTTCAATAAAAGAGGGATTCCCGTAGTGTTAGGCTGCGTTCATGCTTTGCGTCGCGTGCTGCAGCGTTTCGAGCATACGCCACCGCCGCCGATTAGGAAAGTGTAGGCATCGATCTAGCGTACGCCAACGTACAGCAGCGTTTTCGCGGGCAGTTTTGCTCAAGATCAAGTTGTCCACGAAAACGCTGGCATACGCTTGCGTTCGCTAGATCTATAGACATACTTTCCTGTTCGCTGGCGTACACTTGCATATGTTGGCGTTTGCTGCTGCAAAGTATGAAAGCGCCTTAGCCCTTAAGTGTTCTTCAGTATACAAAGCCTATAAACAATACACTAACCTCGTTTGCATCGGTGTCAAATGTACTGACTTGCTCAAGGCGCTCATCGTTCTCCTTACCGACGACTCGGAATATCCTTGAAAGGAAACTAATGAGGAAGTTCATCGAACTATCAACAGGAGTGGGTTCAAATGCATACCAAAGATTAATTCATCAAGGTCGGGTATTTTTCCACAAATTCAAAGGAAAAGGAGGTTCCCGTAAAGTATAAAGACGTCTATATATCCTTCTAGTGCGCAACTTCAATTTATGATTTCAGCAGCGCTCTCGTCACTCATTGTGGAGTCGCCAATGCGGGACAATATTTGCACCGGACTATTCGGGCAAGGAAGAAATGCTACGAATCGGTCAAGAGTAAGGTTTGTCTTAGAAGCCATTTCATTTAACTATTGATAAAGTTTGGCACCGTAGATAAATAAACCTACCGTATTGTTCCATCGCCACCACCGGTAGCAATAAGACCAGTCACTGCGTGCCAGGAAACTGAGTATAGAGGTAAACGAGTATCCTCTACCAACAAACTTTGCTACAGATTGCCATTTGTCACTGACTGCGGACTGCTGTGGAGAATTTCGTCGCCACAACTGAGCGATGGCGAGCCGTTAGCAAGAGCTTGAGCGCTTGCATGCAACTTGGCAAGCTAAACGTACAAAAAGTAGCTACCAGACCTGCACAACGTGATCTTCTCCAACTGTCACCAAACGATGTCCTTCGGAGTCGAACGCGGCACACCACACAGTCCCTTTATGAGCCTTGAAGGAGATATTTCCACAAACACGACAATGGGGCACTTGACACACTTGACAAAAATGTCTTTACACACTTGAAATAACTTACATCAGGGATTTTCTGCTGGGTTATCCAGTCCTCGCCATCAAACTTATAAAACACTATCGAGTAGTCGTAACTGCACGAGACTAGTAACTGTAAGTGTTTAAACCAAACAGATGCATAACAAAATATGAAAAACGCGAAAACATCTAAAATTTTTGGTTAAACTTAGAGTGTACTGGACCCTCTGATATCTATACAAGTGCGTACTGTTTACACCGAAAGAAACCAGAAATAGTGATTTCAGCCAGAACTGCCCCTTGTGGGGTCTGGGTATATCCTTATAAGTCGTAAAACCTGATGCGGGTCTTTGTAGAAGATTAAGCACGGCTCTTGAGGTGGTCCGTCAGGTGAGGATATTCTTCTGTTGCTTTCTAAAGAGGTGCTCCTGCACAGCGTGCCACTCATTTAGCCGACCTTTCAGTCCTTTACGTTTGTTTTAGTTTATTTGGTTTCATTTCTTAGTTAGTTCTATGTACTTGCCTAGTGCTCAGGTGATATCATGTTATAAGTGTTTACGGCGTATCCTATACGGATGCATTAAACAAATAAATAAATAAAACCACTGTATAATAATTGCATACATAGGCTCATATTCGGAAATCTTATTGAAAATTGTTCTCAGCGAGCGGAAGTACCGCGCTACGCTAAGAAAGAAGGCAAGCAAGGCACTTTATTATTGTGAAAGTTCAGAAAAAAAGGCGCGCATGCACAAAGGAGGTCACGCAGCGACACAAGACTAACTCCGGCCGTTCACGCTCTTTTGAGCTTGAGCCTGGGAGAGGGATCATGTCTCTACATAGGTGAAAGAAAAAGGACAGACGACCGGGGGACCGGCGGACAGTCGTCGTAGCCCTACTCTCTGAGCGTATCTCCCTCCAACTCTGTTCGTGCAGAGTGTATTGGCCACTCCTAGTTTAAAAAGGAAGTTCGTGCTGCAGCAGGAATTTATGAGCCCTCTCTGAAGCCTCCTTCCACTTAAGTTTAAGCAATAATAGTCATTCCCTCGGAAACACAACAAT